CCCCCCCCCCCCCCCCCCCCCCCCCCCCCCCCCCCCCCCCAGAAGAGTTCCTCAGCGTTGGGGACGCGGGCATCTCGCAGCTCCTGCAGCCGCTGCAGCACCCGGCCCAGGCTGTGCTCCCCCAGCTGCCGGTTGTCCCGCGTGCGGATGCTGACGGTGCCGTGCTCCTGTTCCCTGCGGCCAACCACTGCAGGGGGGGACAGCGTGGTTTGGGGGTAGGGGGGGAAAAACAGGTCGGTTAGAGGGGAAATAGGCTGGTTTGAGGGGGGGGGGAACAGGCTTGCAAGGAAAACAGGTTGGTTTCGGGAGAAAATGGGTTGGTTTGGTGGAAAATAAGGTTGTTTTGGGGGGAGCAGCCCTGCGTGGCACCCAAACATGTGGGTGCAGCCGTGTGCTGTGCACACCCACACCCCCCTGTGCACACACACACACCCAGTCTGTGCACACCCACGCCCGCGCTGCGCGCACCCACGCCTGTGCTGCACCCATGCACCCTCGTGTGGGCACGCTCAGACTCTGAGTCACACACACGCTCATGGGAACCCCTCACACCCACCCGTGTCCCCCCCTTTATGTGTGCACACCTACACGCGTTCCCCAGCACACCCACGGCAGCCCCCAGGGGTTCATTTGCAGCCCTACGTGCGCGGTGCCGAGCTGCAGCCCTCGGGCAGAGGAATCCCCGGTGGGGTTTCAAAGGATTCTCAGGGGATCCCAGAAGGTTCCCAGGGAGGCTCTGCGGATGTTTCCAGCCACTTCCTGATGCTCTCACCCCACAAATCCCAGTTCCCGTCGGGATGCGGATGCGGAGGTGGGCAGGCGGCCGGGAACCACTGACTCAGTGCTGCCACTCCCATGCCCGGGGGGGACACAGAGCCGGGGGGGACTGGGGTTGACAAGGAGCCTGGGGGTGACCTTTTCTCCCTTACCCAGCTGGAAGTTGTAGTGGGTGAGCTGTGCCCGGCGGATCTTCCTGCCCAGTGTGGCACCTGCATCGGCATCCAGGTCAGCCATCACGCCGTCCCGCCGCAGCATGGCATGGACCTGCCAACATCAGGTCAGCAGGGACGTGGGGGACAAAAGGGGGCACGCAGGGCCATTGGGGACAAACTCACCTCACGGGCATAGCCCTCAGTATCAGGTGCCTGCGGGATCACCATCGCCTGCAGTGGGGAGAGCCAGAGCGGCCTGCAGGGAGGCAGCTGGGGTAAGGGAGGGAAGGGGTTTGGGGCATTCTTGGGTTTGGGGTCTCCTGGAGACTGGGTTATGTGGGACTGGGGTGCAGCCAGGACTGAGGGTGCTCCAAGAATTGGAGATGGTTTGTGGGATGTCCCTGGAAATTAAAGGGGTTGCGTGGGGATACAGAGGTACCCCTGGGAATTGAGGGTATCTGGGGATGGGGGGGTGCCCCCAGGATGTCCCCAAGGACCGGGGTTGCTTTGGCCCCTCACCATTTGCCGCCGCAGCTCTCGGCCATCACAGCCACCATGCGCTCAACGGAGCCCAGCACGGCGCGGTGGATCAGCACCGGTCGCGCCATCCCTCCAGCTGCACTGTGGGGGCACAGTGTGGGGGGCTGTTGGCAGGCACTGCGCCTCCCAGCACGGCCTGTCCCTCAATCCCCCAGTCCTACATATGGCCTCAATCTTGCCCCTGCCCCCCACACCTATCCTTGAACCCCCCCAGCCCCAATCTCTCCAATGTCCCCAACTCTATGCCCTCTGGGTCCCTATTCCTGTCCCTTGGTCCCTGATCTTATCTCCACCCAGCATCCCATCCCCAAACCTGCCCTGTCCTCATCCCTTCCCTGCCTCCTCAATCTTTAATCCTGCTCCCTTTCCCCTACCTGGCATACTCCAGCCCAAACCTCTCGGGCATCTGGAAATCCAGCTGAATGGTGCCACACTGGTGATGCCTCCCCAGTGCATCCTGGATCCGGATATCGATCTGCAAAAAGGGAAGGCAGCAGGGGTAGCTTTTCCCACCCTGACATACGTGGCACAACAGCCCCAGAGGACAATAATGGGTCCTTAGAGCGTCCTCCAATGTGATGCAAAACCAAACTCACCTTGGGGCCGTAAAAAGCACCGTCACCCTGACTCAGCTCCCAGGGCTCCCCAAAATCTTGGAGGCTCTTCTCCAATTGCTGCAAGAGCAAACGGGAAGGGGGAGGGGACACGAGGTGATGCTCTGGATGCGATGCATAGATGTGATGCTTGGAGGTGGAGGGGCAAAACCGGAACACGACGCTCAGGGTGTGTTGCAAAGGAAAGACACATGGGGTGGGATGTGCAGGAGATGCAGTGCCAACACTGTCCCACCTGCTCAGCACGGTCCCAGGTTGCAGCATCCCCCAGGAAGCCATCGGGGCGTGTGGCCAGAGCCATTTGGAAGGAGAAGCCCAGCGTGGTGTAGACAGAGCGCACAAAGTCCAGGCAGGAACCGATCTCCGCCTCCAGCTGTGGGACAATGCTGTGAGCAGGGAAATGGGGGACACAGAGGGGACACAGGGGGGACACAGGGGGGACACCCACCTGCTCCAGTGCACAGAAGATATGCGCATCGTCCTGCTGGAAGCGCCTCACGCGTGTCAGCCCGGTCAGGGAGCCGGGCGGCTCATTGCGATGCAGCACCCCAAAGTCAGCCAGGCGCAGCGGCAGCTCCCGCCACGATCGTGGCCGGTGGGCGAACATGAGACTGCCAACAGGTGGACAGATGGACGGACGTCAGCCCTGCCGAGCCTCCCCCCACCCCAGCAGTGTGCTCGGCTCACCAGTGGGCCGGGCAGTTCATGGGTTTGAGTGAGAGCGTCTCGGTGCCGGCGGTGAAGGAGAACATGTGGGCGCTGTAGTGCTGCCAGTGCCCTGAGAGCTCCCAGAGGCGAGGGCTGAAGATGTTGGGGGTCACCACCTCACTGAAGCCCCTCGCCTGGTACTCGCTCTGTGGGGATGGGGGACATCAGCCTATCCCCAGGGAGCTGCGTGCACCCCATGGTGGCGTCTGAGGGGCAATGGGGCACAGCAGTGTCCCCAGCAGTTTGTAGAGGAGGGTGACAACACCAGAGCAGCCCAGGGGGCTTTGGGGCCATACCCTGATGAAGTCGATGAGGGTGTTGTAGATGTGGGCACCACGGGGCAGGAAGAAGCAGCTGCCAGGGCTGAGTGCGTGGAAGAAGAAGAGTTCCTGTTCCTGTGAAGTCGGCCACGTCACTGCAGAGGCCATTAGTAGTCGATTCCCAAGAACTGTCTTATGCAGGGCTCACCTTCCCGATGCGACGATGGTCGCGTAGTGCAGCTTCATCCTGTGCCTGCTGCCAGGCCTCCAGCTCCTGCGTGCTGGGGAAGGCGATGGCAGCAATGCGCTGCAATGAGAGGCGGCCCGAGGGACCCTGCCAGAACGCAGCCGAGCTCTGCAGGAGGGACAGAAGGAGGTTACGGGATGCCCACATCCCCTCGGCCCGCATTTCCTGTGCTGCACCTACTGTCAGGATGCGCAGAGCCCCGATCGGCCCCGTGTGCGGGAGGAGGGGACCGCGGCACAGCTGGAGCAGCGGGCCACACCTGCAGGGATGGATATGGGGGGGGCTGAGTCACCATTCTG